TTCAGATCAAGGCTAGCTCCCTACCACTTGATCCACAGTGCCACTTCTGGCTTTATTCTGCTTATTTCCTGCTGAGGGATCAAACCCAGGGCCTCATGTTTGCGAGGCAAGAGCTCTACCACTGAGCCTAATTCCCAGCCCATTCTTTACTTCTTAAACTTGTGGAGAAATATTTCCTTGTCCACAATGATAAATTATGGTCCCAACTTTTATCTTAGGTTTCTAAATTTATTTTGGGCACTTAGTTTTGAGGCTTCTGTTAAAATTTTGCTTCTAATAGTTATGATAGTTTGCTTGAATGAATATATGGCCCAGAATAACTTTGGTCTTATCATTTGGCTCAGGTTTGGACCCCGTGAACTAATGCATTAGGACTTATTCAACACATGTTTTCTTTGCTATCAAATGTTCTATGAGTACCCGTGAGCTAGGTTCTCAGGGTTGTGATGGAAATTCTTCTAGAGAGCAAGTACCTTGTCTTACCCTTGGCTCTTCAACAATTACAATTCACAGACAGGATATTTGTCACAGCATAGGTTGCTTTGGTCACCTGGACAGGGAATCTAGGAAATTAAACAAAACCTTATTTCAGGATACCTGCCAAGTCTGAAGGGATGAAGCTGGTCTCTGTGTGCTCAGCACAGCAGTATAAGTTGGTCTGGTTTGTGAAGGCTACATTCTCTCAAGCCTGGTGTTCTCTCTGACATTCTATCTACCCTTGCCACCAGTGTTTTTTAGCTCATTGATTCTCATAACACAGAGATCCACCCAGGAAAGGCATTGTCTGAATACACCAAGGACCATCATCTTCTACATGAAGAAACATGGAGCCGCAGAAAGGCTTTTTTATGTTTGCTATTGTATGATGGTGTGAATGCATACCTGAACCTTTGTTTGTTATTATTATTAATATGTCCAAGTATATAACTAGTGTTCATTCTCATTAACTTGTTAGTTACCAGGCTGTAAAGTAAGCCTAGAATGGATATGGAGATTAATGATACAATCTTTATTAAGGTGGGTGCCAGTGGCTTGTGCCTATAGCTACTCACGAATCTGAGATTTTAGAATTGAAGTATTGATCCAGCTTGTGTAGACAAACTTGTGTGACTCTTGTCTCCAATTATCCAACAAAAACCAAGAAGTGTAGGTCAATTGGTACATGGCAGCCATAAGTGAAAAACCTGAGCAAGGGCTTGATGACTTAAGTTCAACTTTGACAAAGAAAATAGGGACTATAAATTAAAGTTCTTGTTCTCAAAAGAGTTTCAATGTAGTGAAGCAATGAGACCTTGGATTCCACTTTGATGGTAAGATGTTGACATTTGTTTTATTATTTGAGGAAAGAGGAAGAGAAAGGAAGGCTGAAACTTTCTCCTTACCCACAACTAAGGATTTCATGGGATCCTGAAAGTAGCCAGAACCGAGGTCTGCAAAGAGAGACATATGCTCAACTGGGGCCTTACTGACACCTAGTTCCTAGAGGGGATAGCAACTGGATGATTCTTCCCAAACTTGCACAGTGCATCTGAAGTCTGACCCTGCTAGCTGCAGTCGGTCCCTTGCTCCTTTGTTTCTGTGAAGTCCTTGGGAAGTAAGAGGACAGTTGAGGATCAAGCTTTAAGGCTAGGACCATCAGTTCAGTGAATTGGTTATCACCATTCGTGCATGTATGTGGAAGACAAAAAGTGTATATATGTTTTTCAAATGCATAAAGGATGTATAGTTTGTGCTCATCTCTCTTCTTTCTACTTCTTTTTTGCAGTAATCTAAAAACTTTATATTATAAAGGAGTCATTCAGACTATCTCTCACACTCTCTACCCCCATGCTGTACAAGTATTAGCATGAGTTAAAGATTTCAGTACTTCTCTTGTTTGCTATCTTGTGTACTTGGTCTGGAACAAATGAATTGTGTTTTATTTTCATAGCAATACAGAGCTTATGTGGCCTTCCCAGACTTTTTCCGGAACTCGACTGCTCTATGGTGGAAGAGGGAAATGGAAGAGCTCTACAACAATCCACAGAGTCCAGAGAAGAGCTTGAAGTTTGATGGCATGTGGATTGTGAGTGCAGGGTGCTTTTCTGTGTACACACGGTTAGCTGTTGTGTGAACCTCAACTTGCATAGGGATCACTGACCTTAGTCAAGACACTAACATTCCTTCAAGAAAGATTTTGCATATCTCAGACTGTACTTTTTCCAAATCAGCCCAGAGACCCTTTATACTGTGCAGTTGTACAAGGCATAAATTTCTGCTGTGAAATAACTAGGGTGATTACTACTAATTTATTAGAACTCTGCTTACACTGCAGGTTATCTTTTCATATAACACTCTTGGGTTGTCGGTAGGTAGATGTGAATTGCTATTTTTAGCTAATTTTTTTCCTTCATGTGATGATCCTCTCTGGCCAGCATCACCTGGAAATGTGAGATGGTGAAATTATTCATCCACAATTGAGTTGACATAGTGTTATTTTCTTTATAACTACACCAAGTATATATGTATATGTGTGTGTGTGACATTTGTAGGATATGAATGAACCTTCGAGCTTCGTGAACGGGGCAGTTGCTCCTGGCTGCAGGGATACAACTCTGAACCGGCCTCCCTACATGCCACGTAAGGACCCGGGGCCTCCTTAATCAGCCAAGACATGGCTAGACAAATTCTGCCCAACCCCAACCTGCAGAGGTTTAGCCTGACCACTGAGGGCCAGTCCTTATAGAACTCTGGTTTACTGGGGGCCAGTAAATAGCACATTCAGGGCTTTCATTCATAGGATGTATTCAGTTTATTAGAGAATTTCTGGAATGTAGTAGTTGTCCAAAGGGGTTTTAATTCCAGAGGTGCAATGTATCATGGTCAATGTCACCCTTCTGTAGTTCTCCCCTAGTTCTGTCCATCCTGGCCTCAAGTTACATAGTTCAGTTTTTACATAGAGTATGTGTTCTATAATGGCTGTATTTTCTGTATCTGTAAATGATTTTCATAGCTAGAGTTCTTAGTTTCTCAGTAATTTATCCACAGGAATGTCTTTTGCCATCAGTGGGTATGATGAAGCTGATTTCCTTGTCATAAGACCTTTGGACTATGGAGTTACCCTTGTCCTTCTATGTGTCCATTTCAGTTATTTTCCTTGACTTGTGCAAAATTTTATGAACTTTGCATTATTTCCAAATCTTAAAATTCTAATATATAAGATATAGATAAACCTTTCTAGTCTGTGGAGATTTTTTATAAGAATTATAAAGATTAGAGGCTCATGCTACCTGGGGTAACTCATGTGAGTTATCCAAGAGGTTAAGATCTGAGGATAGTTGTTCAAATCCAACCTGGGTAGGAAACTACGTGAGACTTTTATCTCCAATAAACTACTTGAAAAGCCAGAATTGGTGCTGTTGTACAAATGGTAGAGCACTAGCCTTACACAAAAGAAGCTCAGGGATAGCGCCCAGGCCTAGAATTCAAGTCCCAGGAACTGCTTTCCCCTTCCTCCCCAAAATCCTGGATCAGGGCCTGCTCTAAAGTAAATGCTTGAAAACGCTGTCATTTCTGACATCAGTACTTTTTCCAGTCATGTTGATATGGAAAATACCTGCAGTACCAGCGCAACTCACCAAGTGCACTGTTCTGTGACTGGTGAGGCAGAGGCCATTCAGAAGTGAAGTTAGCCTTAAGGTCCAGAGTCAAATGCCATAAAGATTTGTTAGGGTTTGAAGATATGAGCTCTGTGTTTCCTCCCCGTGCCCCTTAGATTTGGCAGGCAGGGACAGAGGCCTGAGCAGCAAGACCCTGTGCATGGAGAGCGAGCAGATCCTTCCAGACGGCTCGCGGGTGCGGCACTATGACGTCCACAGCCTGTATGGCTGGTCCCAGACCAGACCCACCTACGAGTGAGTTGTGTCTCCCTTCTCCAGCTGGGCCCGAGGATAGAAACAGTGATGGGGACAGCTTCCCTACTTAACCTTGCAAACCCCATTCTAAGAGTCCACCAGAGATGAATGACATCAATGTAGTAATTTTTGTTCTTTCAATAAATAATACACGACTGAGGAATGAGGTTCTTGGGTTAAACATGCATGCT